AACTAGCCTTTAAGAACTACCCCTATGCATTTTTTGGTGTACAATCAAAGAAGACTATCCACAATTATTTGAAAAGGCTATTAAAATTTCCTCCCTTTTCCAAGTACACGTCTGTGAGAAGCTAGGTTTTCTTCTTGTACTTTATCCAAACCAATCTATCAAAACAGAGTGAATGCTGAAGCAGGTATGAAAGCCCAGTTGTCTTCTACTACATTTGTAAAAATGTAATCCCTCCCTTCTAATTAAATTTCTTTTGGTTTGTAATGGTTATATTGTTATTATCTCAGAGTGGATTAATAAATACATATTTTAAAAGTTTGTCATAGTTTTTAATATGGTAAATATCAATAGATATAACCCACCTAAACAAAGTTCTTAGAGTCCTCAGTGCTTTTGAAAAATGTAAAGGGGTCTAGAGACCCCAAAGCTTAAGAACTTCTGGAAAATTGAGAGCATGGGATTTGGCATCAGGCTAAACTGTTTTCTGATCCTGACTGGGCTGCCCACTGAAGGTGAGACGTGAGAAGTGGTGTTTACTTCTCTGGAAGCGCCTCATTACTGACAGGGGGCCAGAGGTACCATAGCCATTCTTCAGTGGCTACTTGCAAGGACTGGATGAGCAAGTGTGAGTGAAGGGGGCCTCTGTGTGGCCCACCTCAGCCAAGAAGAGAGACCAAAGAGGACGCACACAGCGAGAAGGACCAGCAGGGAGCTGGCAGAGCGCTCACTAGAAGAAAAATCCCTCCCTGCTGGGATGGCACTGCTTTGCTCTCTCTGGGCTTGCAAAGACTCCCATACCCCGCCCTTTGGAGGAAAGCTATGTGATTTGTTTTCTTTCCTTCTCAGTGAATTAAGCTTAATTTTGTTTTGTAAGCTGGCAGCTCTGCCTGAGATAATAAATGATGCCTGAGGGAGCTGGGAAGCCATCACTGGAAACACTGAATCTGTGCTCAGCCAATGTCCCTAAAACAGGCTTCCAAGCTGCAGTGCTCGGGTCCGCCAGCTTTCACCTTTTCTGGCATCTGTTTTAAAACCTAGGCGCTTCCTCCAGCACCCCTTGGTCCCCACACACTCCTTCTCCTCTTCTGGAGACAGACAGTTTGTGGACAGAGGTAAGCACTGCTCCCCTTGGTGAACTTTGGGAGCTGCGTCTGGCTGGGGAAGTGCCATCATCTCCAAAGCAGGAAATCAGCTCCCCTCCCAAAGTTCTGAAGTTTACTCTATAATTACAGCCAATTATCTTTGTTATTTCAATCTCTGTTTCCTGAGATTTGGGGAAAAGCATCCGCAGGCCTGTTTTCATGGCATTTTCTTCTCTTTGTCATGTGTCACTTAGCACTCAATTAGCCCAGGAAGGACATGTGTACCTGGGTCATTTTCAGCAGCCCCCACCCCAGCACAGCCCACTTAGGGACAGTGCTGAGCTTACTGCACTGCTTGGAATTCGCTCACACAGATCTTCAAGGGCAGGCCTCAGCCCAGACCTGGGGCTGATGTGGACTTTTTGGTGACTATCAAAGACCTTCCTTCCCTTGGGCTGGCAGCCCCAGCTGTAGCCTTTCTCAGTGTCAGGAGCCACAACACACACCCCGGAATCTGTCTGCTATTTGAAGACAGTGGCACGCTCAGGTTTCATCCCAGGAAGTACGGGCCCAGCTGGTCAGAGGAACACTTCCTGGAGGTGTCTGGGTTCTGTTGCTTGTGACTATGGGCACCTCCTAAGCTGGCCAGAGGAGGGGGTGTGCTGTGGGTCGGGAAGAGTACAAGCCTGGGGTGTGGGCGGCTGGTGGGGAGTGTCTTCCTGCTGGGGCCCGGGTTCCGTGGACTCTTCCCGCTGCTAATGCAGGGCTTTGCCCTGTGTGGCCACTCCCTCCTGGAGCACCCCTCCCCTCCTGGTCATCTGCTCCTCACCCTTCAGATTTCAGCTCCAGCTTCATCTCCCCAGAAGAGCTTTCTCTCATCTCCACTCTCAGTCAAACCTCTCCATGTTAGGATGTCACAGCAACCCTGTTCCTCTATTTTGCAGCACTCTTTACGGTTGTCATCTCACATGTGCTTCTGAGATGATTGAGCAAATGTCTACCTTCCCTAGTAAACCGTGAGCCCATGAGCATAGAGGGCATACCCATTTTGCTCCCCACTGTCTCCTCAGTGGTAGCAGAGCACCTGGCCTAGGTACCCGATAAATGCACGCTGAGTGAATGAATGAGGAGCGGTGCATGGTTGGTGCCAGCCGGCTGCAACTGCACTGCTCCCGGGACATCCCAGGGAGGCCGCTGGGCCTATGGTACTGTCTGAGCTTCCTGGGGTGCAGAAATGAGGTGTTGCCACAATATTAAGAGCCCTTCAGGATGGGAATGGCAATTCTTTTGCTTTAAGTGGGACCTTAGAGTCCAGAGCTTGGCTCCTGGGCAGACAGTGACCAGGACTCAGAACTGAGGTCTCATCTTAAGGTGGGACATGAGGATCGTATTCATAGAAGGGCTTTGTATGCCACAGTGCCTGCTGGATATGTTTTCATGATTATCCTGGGCTGCCTCTGGTGGCAGACTGACTGTTGGGGAATCTGGAAGGCAGCGAGCAGAGCAAGGGCTTTGGGGGGTGGTTCAGGAAGGGAGACAAAACCCTCCCACTTATATTCTGGAGGTCAGGCACTTGTCACCTGCTGGGCAGAGGCGCTGGGAAGGAGAGTGTCCTGCTCCCATGGCCAAGCTGACCCCTCTGAGGCTCTGCTGCCATCTTGCTGGGGCCCATTGAGTAGGGTCCCCAGGCAGTTTTGCTTGAGACCCTAGGGATAAAGTGGGATGGATGCTGACGGTGGGACTGCAGTGTGTTCGGTGGGGTGGGGTACTTACAGCTCGGTCACATCCTTGGGAATGCCTCTGGGGAGGGCATGGAGGCCCTTGTTGCTACATCGCACCACCGTCTCCACGCAGGCACACTGCTCAGGGCAGTGCGGGCCCAGCTGGCAGCTGCTCTCGTCATTGCCTGTGGGGAGCCCCAGAGTGAGCGCAGAGGGAGACACACCCTGCCAAGGGACAGGTGAGCAAGGCCACTTCTGGGACCAAGCGTCTGCTGGAAAGGGAAGCCCTTGCTGTGAGCCAGAACCAGAAATAAGGAGCCTGCTGGTTTCACTGTGGTTGGAGGGGTTGGGGAAGAGGGCTGCCTGTCTTCTACCACATGTAATGAAAAGACCCTAAAACCTTGACGGACCAGAGTATTAGACAGGACGGAGGTCACTGTCAGCCCCATCTGAAATAAGCCAAACTGACTAAGGGGTGCCTGGGGTAAGGGGCAGAGCCCTGTCTGTCCCTTTGCTCTCTCTCCTCCCTTTCTCTACTCCTTCCACTACACAGTCCCTCTGAGGTGCTGAACATGTCCCCAGTTCCCATTATACCTTAGCCTCAGTTCATCTACAAACCAGTTCATCTGTCTCTAGATAACCTAAAGCTGACCAAGTAAAAATAGTGCTGGCTTGAATTTATGCAAACAAATATGCCCTCTGGAATCCGGACACTCAAAGCCTTGGTTCTCCAGGTGTTCATACCCCCCCGCCAGTAAGAGGAATTCTCCAGGAGCTTTTAAAGTCTGTCTCTCATGAGCACATATCTGAGCCTCATGATGCAGACAGGAACACTGAGACCCAGGCCCCCATGTACAGTTGTGTAAGTTGCATACTGTACAAGGATGCCATATCATCTAATGGGCACCAGTCTCACTATGGACATGGTGGATAAAGGTACAATGCAACAGCATTCTCAATGGCTGTAAAATATTTTGTTTTAACAAAATCAATATTTCATGACAAATTTATGACTGATGGAAGTAAAAATCTTTAAAGAGAGGCACCTTTTCTTAATTTGCACCAAGGACCCTTGTGTGCTAGCTAGCAGTGGGGCCCTCCAGAGCTCCAGCTGCATGCCTGAGGGCAGAGTTGAAGCAGATCTAAGGGGTGCTGCCCTTCAGTTACCTGCTGCACCTCTCCTCTCGTGTCTTCCTTGACTTCCCAGGTACTGCCCCACCCTCAGCCTTCTCACCTTCACAGGTGAAGTCCTGGATGGCCACATCCTGGATGGGAATCTCCTTGAGGAAGAATGGCTTTTGGCACCGGGGGTTCCCGCTTACGATCCGCCTCTTCCTTAGCCACTTGCCGAGCCAGGCCAGGTGGCAGTTGCAGTTGAAGGGGTTGGACAGGAGGTTTCTGGAAGGAAGGAACCCACTGTGAGTGGTTAGCCTCTACCCTTTGACCGTGGAAGCTAGCCCCTGGGTCCAGCTCTGCAAACCTAGGGCCCAGCTCTCCAGGCAGGTCAGCCCTGGGTTCAGGAGAAGGAGGTCTGGGCAAGGAAACGCAGACTCTCTTCTAAAATCCAGATGCTGCCTTTGCAAGGCCTCTGCTGGTTGATTTGACAGTGGTCTCCCGCCACACTCTCCCTGCTTTGCTGAGCTCCAGTTGTGCGAACTGCCTTCAATTCCTCAACAGGACTCTGACACTCAGAGCCTCTGCACATGCTGCTCCTCCGGCTTGGGATGAATCTCTCTACTGTTTGCCCGGCTGGCTCCTCCTCATCCTTTAGTGCTCAGCTTAAATGACCCCTCATCTAAAGGGAAATGCAAAGTTCCTCCCTGTCCCGCTATTCTCCTGCATGCGCCTTTACTTCCTCCATAGCACCCATCAGAGCTTGTCATGACTGTCCAATGTCCATCTCCGTCCTTGGACTCTCAGTCCCCTAAGGGCAGGGATCAGGTCTGCTTGTCTGCCGCGGTGTCTCTGGGAACTAGCGTGACATCAGCCAGGCGCTCAATCCGTATCTGCTGGATGCAATGACTGGACTGATGGCAGGGTGAAGGGGTGACAGCGGCTACTGCTTTCTGAGTGTTTCCTAGAGGACTGGCACCAGGCTAGGTACTTCATAAATCCATTCTCTCATTCAGATTTGTCATAGCAGCCTGAGAATGGAGGTAACATTATTCTCATTTCACAAATGAGGAAGGGTAGGGAGGTTACACAAGTGGGCCAGACAGCCCTTGAGTGGCTGCTGCATGACATGGCAAGTATAGCTTGGGAGTCAGATATTCTGAACACACTGCAGTCCTACCATCAGTAGCTATGTGAAGTTGGGCAAGTTCACCCTCATGTCAAAGCTGGTTCCCTTCAAGCTTTGTGATTCGATACCTGTTGGCTTCTGTTGTGTTCTGGACTCCCAGTATGGAGGCACCTGGGAGAAGTGACAAGTGGGCTAAAATGAACCAACCCACTGTGATAGTTCCTAACCCATCATCTCCTGTCTTGAAGCCACTTATTCATTCAATTCATCCATTTACCCAACACTCATGTAATGAGCATTTACTTAGCACCAGGCACAGATGTAGATATTTGAGTCTGCAGCAGTGAACAAAACAGCCATATATCCCTGTCTTTCCGGGACTTATATTTTAGCTGATGGGAGACAGACAATACATAATTAACAACAAAAAGCTAAGTTGTCTCTATAGTATATTAGGAAATGGTAAAAATTAAAAAATTAGGAGAGCAGGGCCAGAGGAATTGGGGGTGATGGCATAGGAGTGGCTGAGGGTGAGGCAAGTGACCCATGAGGAAAGAAAGGAGGCATGGAGGGAGGCCAGGGGGAGGGTGTTCTAGGCAGTGGGAGCAGCCGGGACACATGCCAGGTGGGAGTGCACCTGGGGTGTGGGAGGGACGGCCAGGAGGCCGCTGGTGCTGGGGTAGAGGGGGGTCAGGAGAGCCTGGATGGCGTGGGGCCCTTGGGACATTCTGTGACTTTGGCTTTTGTTCCAGGTGAGAAGGGTGTATGGGAGCGTGATAATGGGAGCTACAAGAGATAACAGGGAAGAATGAACCAGCAACTCAGGTTAACAGAGCCTCATGGAAATACTTTGAGCAAATGTAGACGCTGACGTGCTGAGTACTTTCTATATTTCAGCTCCTGCTGTGAGTTTTACAAATATTAACAGATTCTATCCTCATAACAATCCTATGAAGTAGCTTATACAAAAGGAACAATTGAAGCTCAGAGAGATGAAGAAACTTTTTCAAAATCATACAGCTAACAAGAATAAGGCCAGGATTTGAACCCTAGAAGTTTTGCTCTAGAGCCCAAATGCTTAACTTTTATTCTAAACAGCATCCTTTACCAATACTGTGAATCACCTGGACAAGGACACTCATTTAGGTGTTCAGAAAGCTAAATTCTAACTCTGGTTCTGATACATATTTAAGCAGCCAGTGCTATATTTTAAAACCCCTGTCAGAGCATGTCACTGGCCCACTTAAAACCTTCAGTGGCTTCCTTATATGATTTGGATGAAGGCCAGAATGGCTAGTGGCAATCTGGCCTTATGCCGTGTCCGCTCTCACTCTGTGCTATGATTATGTCAGGCTTTGCTCAGTCCCATGTGTCTCCTCTGCTCCAACCTACCACAGAGCCACTGCACATGCTCTTCTCACTGAAAGAAATGTGTTTCCTACTTTCTTGAATAAGCTAACTCCCACTCACCCTCCAAACACAGCTCCAGAGTTCCTTGATGAAGCCTATCCTGGGTTTTCATATCACCGTGGACCTCCCTTCTGCAGCAAGTCACCGTGCTGTGAGCTCCAGGAAGGAGGAACCGAGTGTGTGAATCCACAGCACCTGGATGGTGCCTGGCATGCGGAGAGAGCCCAGCTAATGTTTATTGCTTTGTCAGATGGGTAGAAGACCTTGGCCAAGGACAGGAGGGAGCTGTGAGGGCAGAGGTCAGCAGGAGAGGAGCCAGAGTGAGTGAGCAGTGAATCCAGGAGGACTTACATGGTAGACAGGGAGACAAGCGTGGTGAAGGCTCCGGGGGTGATGGTGGTGATCCGATTGTCATAGAGGGACAGCAGCCTCACCGAGCTCAGGCCAGCAAAGGTATCATTGCCCACACAGCTGATCAGGTTACTTCTCAGCATCCTGCAGGGGAAGAGGTGGGATGAAGGAGCACAGGCTTTATCCCTTCCTTCCCACTGCCATAGCAGAGAGAGAGAGAGAGAGAGAGAGAGTGTGTGTGTGTGTGTGTGTGTGTGTGTGATGCTTTTGCCAACTCTAGGCCATATCATTCACACTGCTGAAGCTTTATCTGTGCTAATAGGGCCTGGGTCCCCATTGGGCCTACCTGTAAGTATGTGTGTACATTCTTGTCTGTTCATGCTTTATTTATAGTAGAAAAAGGTATCATGTGCATATATGTGTACATGTGTATATTGTATGGTGAGTAGTGTGTATATTTCTGGCAGAAGAAAGAATCAAAATGTGGCTGTGGACATCAGCTTGTGTGTGTGTGTGCTTGTATGTACATGCTTGTTTGTGCCTTTATTTGTATATTGCATGTGTGTGCATGCCATTTTTATGTGCATATATATATGTCTCTGTTTGTGGGTAAATATATTGAGTGTGTGCCTCTATCAGCATGTTTCTGGTATGAATCTATATATGTGTGTACATTAGGGCAAATATCTTTTTGTATATATTTGTGTGTGTGTTGTGGGGGTTGCTTGGCATGCTAAATTTGTTCCCATCAAGGGCTAGAAAATGCCTGATGCCTCTCTGGCTCCAGGGAGGAAGAGATTCAGCAGGCCGGGAGAGTGACTGGGCCTAGTTCACGGCTCACCAGCCTTCACAGTCCCCCCTAATGGCCCTGCCCACCTGTCTCCCCCCAGGCCTGGCCTAAGCCCAGGCACTCACAAGGTTTTCAGGCTGCTGAGGCCACGGAACATGCGTCCATGCATTGTTTCCAGCTGGTTCCCTGTTAGCATCAGCTCCTGCACGCTGGCTGCTCCATCAAAGGCACCCTCTTTCACCTCCTTGATCTTATTGTTACTCAAATTTCTAGAAGGAGAGGACAGAATGGGTTGGATGCAGGGAGGGAATCGCTAGCTTTGCAGCCAGCAAAGGACTCTCAGGAGCCCCAGCACTGAGGACTGGATGGTGGGGAGCTCAGTCTGGGGCTCCCCGACACTGGTCTTCAGTGTCTGTGGCTGGTGGAGCAGGGCCCCAGTCCCACATGGGTGGCACTACCTTTGTGAATCAGACTGTATGGAGTTTTGAGTCTTTCAGTGTTATTTTTCAGCATTTTCAATGCCCTGGGGACTGGTACATTTAAAACAGTGATTCTCCAAGTTATTTCCTCTCTTCAGCAGAAACTCTCACTAATAAGCAGTGATGCTCAAGAGGATGGCAGGAAAAAAATATAGAAGGTGCCCCTGTGGCAGTGGGGCATCTGTAGAGCTTCTAGCTCTCTCACCGGTTGAGATCCCTGATGAAAACTGACACTTTGAAGTTACTACTTTTTGAGCACTCATTACATACTAGGCTCTATGTGAGGGATCTTACCAGCAGAATCACATCAAATCCTCAAACCAGTGCCTATCAGATGGCTATTATTATATTTTAATCATTGTCTCATTTTATAGATCAGGTGACTGAGGTTCGGAGAGATTACATAACTTGCCCACAGGCAGGTGACAGAACTGGGACTGAGGCCAGGCTTTCTGGCATGTAAAACTGCCAGCAAACTGCCCCTTTCCCAAATGAATGTCCCTTTGGTGATGGGGATACTCACTCCCTCCTACTACCACTGTGCAGAATTGAGGATCTGACATGTTGTGTTTTCTTAAAGTAGGCTCAGTCCTATCAAGCTTGAGGGACACCATGGCCAAATCTGTCCCCGACCTCTGAGAGCAGGTGCTTCCCACTGACAAGCCTCATAGCAGGTCTGAGCAGCAGATTCTGTAGAGCCTGAGTTCCCTAGTCCTCTCCCTGGCATGCTGGGAGGTCAGGGGCCCTGCAAAGACCACCCAAATGTTCAGACCGGAAAGGCACCTCAGGCAGGATGGACGGAGTGGAGAGTGATGGTGTTTACACAAACTGAGGGACAAATCCAGCCTCCTGAGCAAACAGCCTTTCAGGGTCTGGCACAGGGAACAGCGATCTGCAGGCAGGGACGGGGCATGCTGACTGGCGGAGCACCCACTGAGGCTGTTAGAACCACAGGCTCACTAGACGTGGGCCAGTGGAAATACTGAGGCCCAGAGAGAGGAAGGCGTGGCTCCAGGTCACAGAGTGTGGGAAATGGATACAGCACGATGCCGAGGCTCCGGTGCTTTTGGTTTTCTCAAGTGCCCTCGTGCAACTCTGGGCTGACTCACAGCAACACCAGGGGTGAAGCTTCCCTTGGCCCTGACTCAGAGCAAGCCAGAGAACCGGGCAGCCAAGGGCTCAGGGCAGGCCACTGGCCCTCTTCCCAAGCAGGCACTGGGCCCATAGGCATGGCACCGCCCTCACCTGTAGGCAGTCGGAAGAGACAGATGGGGCCCTGATGGCTCCCTTTGTGTTTCTGCCATGGCCCTGCTCTCCTCCTCTCCCATCCTGCCGGGAAAACATGAGCAAATACTTCTCAGAATCTCCCTTCCAAGTCTGAGAGAGTTGGGTGATGCTCTAACATTAGATTTGTGCCCCTGCTTGGCAGCCAGTTTTCTTATAAATCCCGGTAGATCTGGTCTGGGGTAACCCAGGAATGAAGGTAATGCACACAGGAGACTGCAAATTACCCCCAAATTAGACATGGGAGGAGAGATAAAGGCTCTTCCAGTAGCCATAGCTCATCCCAATGCCAGAGGAGAAGGATTTTGCTCCAGAGAGTCAGGCTTCTTGGGGAATTAAAGTACATGGGATGGGCAATGAAGATGAGTTAAAGCAGCTATGAAGTGGGAGGCTTAGCATTTCCTGACATCTGTTTCTTTGAATGAGCAAAATTAACATTACATTATTGTAAGGTTTGTGAATTGGACTTTGTCAGGCTGGGAGAATGGAAAACATAAGTAAAAAAGAGGGACAGAATTTTCCAGAAGACCAGGCTGCTGCTCTCTCTCTATCCATCAAAGCACTACTGAAAACTACAGGCAGCTCAGACTGGTGCAGAGAGAGAGAAGTTGGGGCAAGCTCTGCAGACACAAAGCCCGTACACCAGGAGTCTGCAAGAGCCCTCTCTCATTCTCAGAGTGGTGTCTTCCTGAAGACACTCCAGATCCCAGGAAACCACAACAAAACTCTCTATTTTGTCTCTGCAGACACAGCTGAAGGAAAATGGTTTCATCATGGCTTTGATGCCCCTGAGGATGGGAGTCTTTCACCTGAAAGGACCAGAAACTCCCGCCCCAGGTGCATGGTCAGTTCAGTGGGATCAGCAGCAGGACAAACCTAGCATGTGGCCTCTGCAAGCTGCTGTGTGTACCTTTCCCATCCTGTTCTCATTCTCCCTGAGAAACACTGAGGTCCCTGCAGACTGGGGATTCAACTGGCTATCTCTGCAAAGCCTGAGTCTGAGGAGGCAGGCCTCAGCCTCCTCCAGATTCACGTCTCCTCGGGTTTGTAGGACAGCCCATAAACTGTGGCTGGCAGCAGGGAAGCACTGGTAATCCTGTTTAAAACCCAGTCCCTCATGGAAATGCAGTGGGGAGAGAGCTAAATGGATTTTTCTAGAAATTGAAGATACTGGGTCATGATGGAACACTTCGACACACTGTCAAGTCAGGGAGGTCCTGTCCACCTCCTTACAGAGGACGTCTTCCTTTTTCTGAGATGCAAATTCTATTTCAAGGTGGGGTTGCAAGCTCAAATGTCCAAGCAGGTGACTTAATGCTGGAAGCCAGCCCAGTGGGGATGGCAGTGATCGGTGAAGCACATGTGCTCTCCAGGAGGGCAGCTGCTCCTCAACTGCAGCCATTTGGAAATGAGGGCCCAGGTTTTCCAGATCTTCTGATTTTCCAAAAGATTCCAGAAATCCAGTTGTTTTCCTGGAGAAACTGATTTTTAAAAGTGGGCAACTCATTAGAAACATAAGCACCCAGGTGTCCCTGATTTTGGCTAGAGGGCTGCCAGGTTTCAGCTTCTGGTTGAGATGCTCCTTCAGTGTAAGGACTGACCTGGAAGTCTGCCTGAGAGAGGCCATATCCACACCCTGAATGTGATGTCATTTGAAAAGTTGCTCTGAGCCACCTGAGTAGAAATAATCCTGTTGGGTAACAGCTCATACTTATTTTGCATCTCTTAGCACATGTGATATGCATGGAGATCTCATTATTCCAATGTGACAGGTAAGGGCACAGAGGTCCAGAACAGGGTGGAGAGGCACAGCAGAGTCTAAATACCTGGCTTTCTGTTCCTCTGCTTTGCCTACATACCCTGTCACAGGAGAGTGAAAAGTGTGACCTTAGGGCCCTGCCCCACAGTCCTTGAGGAAGTTCAGCAAACTCAGGCACAGACTCGCTGGTTTTAACGACTCTGGTGAGTGGATATCCAGTTGACCCACTACCTCTGTGGGGGTGTAGAGATGGTGCTGGGTTCCAGCACATAAGGACCCTTCACTTAAGGAAAAGAGTTGCAATCAAGTTACTTTAAATAAGTCATTACAACTGGTAGTCTTTGGGATAGAGTCTGTCCCACTGGCTCATTTACTTGGTTGGCTAGCATTATATGCAGGGCTGTATGCACAAATATGTGTGCACACATAAATTTACTGCCTTCAGATGGTGTCTCCCCAGTCAATCTGCACCGTCACCACTTCTGGCTCGGCTGCTTGATTTCTAACCTGGGACAAGTTATTCAGTTTTCTGTGTTTCTGCTTCTTCCTTTGTAAAATGAAGGAATCTCAAAGCATTTTGCTTTTTTAGGTGAGGGCTAAAGGAATTAATGTCAGTACAGTCTGGCACAGAGCAAAGCATGGCAGGTACTGGGGTAAACTGAGTGACATCTGCCTATTTGGATGAGAACTGAGACTACATTTTGCTACAGAACCCACCACTCCCTTTTATGGTGTGGATGCTGAGGCTGGCAGTTGTTTGACACTTATCATTATGTTTGTGCTGTTGTTTTCCTTGGTGCACAGAAACAGTTCTCTATACTCACATCCCTGTTAAAAGTGAAAGACTCAAAGTGCTTGAGTTTCACTTAAAATGGGAGTGTGCATAAGTCTTTATGGAAGCAAAGACTACTTGATCCTGTTGACTATGCAAATATGCACTTGTCCAGCTTTACTCTCATTTTAATATCTGCCTTAATCTCCTTATGCATGTAAGTTTCTATATTGAGGTTAAAAAAAGTGTGTATTTTTTGGGTTTGAATTAAAAAGGACATCTCCTGGCAGGCACTGAGTGATGTTTATGCTGGGCCTCTGAAGCTAGAGGGAAGCTTGATCACATGACCAGTCAATATCCTCAGGACCCATCTGGGTCCTTCTCTCAGCTGTCCCTTCAGAGTGTTGGCCACTGCTGTCAGTGACAGAGCAGCCACTGAGGCCACGGCCAAGGTGGTAGCTGTAGACAGGAGGCAGGGAAAAAGTCTGAACAGCACTAATGCAATCCAGATGCTGTGCAGGGCAGGGGAAGGTCTCTTTCCTTCTTGCTTGTAGGGGACTGATGGGTGGGAGAGCAGAACACAAGATAAAAATAAGGGTTACAGTCAATACCTATTATTCATTGTAGTTATGTTCTACAAAGTTGCCAAGAAAAATGAATTAGTGAATGCTGAATCATCGCTCCCAGGGGAAACAGAGGGTTACGTTCTGGCAAGCATAATATAGGGTGAGTCTCTGGTCACATTTCCATCAACCGATCAATACATAACCTTGTTTGATGTGTTTCCATTTAAGGACACCTTATTTAATATATACAGTTGATTTATGTACATTGTATTCCCAGGCAACAGTCCTGTAACTCAAGCCTGAACAAAGCTGGGGAACACAAGTACTTTATCCATAATGCACATCCCAGCCTTCTTGGGCTTAGGATCCTGGACAGCACTGCAGAACTATGCTTGGGGACATTTTAAAAAGTGAAATCACCCATGAAAAGCACAAATGTGCAAAAAAAAGCGGCACTAAATACACTGTGGAAAGGACATTTGTGAACAGTCTGAGAGCTGAAATGAGAAATCGGAGTTGCCTTGTTCCATTTCAGCTGGGAACATGCATGCAGGGTGACTCGAACTCTTTGCTGCTCGGTCCATGTCTATGAATGACCATGGAAGCACCACAAGCATTCATTTTGAAAGTACAAATGAATTTCAGTGAGCAGGCAAATTATCAAATACAGGACCTTTGAATAATGAGTCTTGGCCCCATTTCCTTTGTTCTAGAGGCAGACCCAAGCTCTGGGGCCGGGAGATGTGGAGTATGGATGTGGGTAGGGAGAGGGGTCAAGGAAAAGGTAATGAGATAGTACAGAGCCCCTGTCGGTGCTGGGGCACCCGGGAAGGGAAGAGGGAGGGCAAGCAAGCCCATCTGCACACTAGTGTGATTACAGATGAACCCAAGTCTGACGGCCAGCTCCTACATTTACTGGCTGTGTGGTCTGAGGGAAGTCATGGAACCTCTCTCAGCGCTGCCAGCTTTCTCATCTGCACAAGGAACACAAAGCTAGGACCAGGCTGGTGTGCAAGGAGTAAATGAAATGATGGGTGTGAGGCAGGAATCATGGCCCCTGGCCCACAATGAATGCTCTAATAGTTCAGCAACATTAGTCTTGTTATCTTTATGACTTGGCCCAAACTCCTAGGCAAGGAGAGGGCTATGAAGATAGGCAGCCATGACAGTGGAAAAGCCAATATAAGCTCAGGCTCTGGTCAGACCTAGGGATGCCAAGACTGAAGCCCAGTATGCGAGACAGACAGTGTTTCTGCTCCAGTGCGCCTCACTAATGCAGAGGCCTTTAGGGTCCATCTAAAAACATCTTAACTGTCACTTAGTAAAAATTACTCAGTAACATGCTCCCTAGACCTTTGTGTCCCATTGCTGGTACTTATCTGAGTCCCATGGGGTAGACGTTGGGTGTGGGGTGGGGAATCGGGGCGAGCCGAGGGGATATGGGGTGAAGGTCAGAAATGATACTGAATGCATGGTTTGTACAATACTCGATTAATTTAAGAATGGTAAAGTTTCATTTTGGCCTGTCTCTACATGGCCATACGTGAGTGTTCTGTATCCAATCCATGCCCATAGCAGGGGTCAGGAGGAGGCTGACAGGGGCCAGAGCAGAGGATGAGGGGACTACCAATCCCTGGCATTCTGCTCAAGTCTGCAATGCAGACCCTGGCCAGGGCCTGGAGGCTGTCGCCCAGCCTCCGAGGCTGACTTACATTTTCCGCAGGTTGGGCAACTTCTTAAAGATACCAGTGGCCTCTAGAACAGATATCTCATTGTCGTTCAGTCGCCTACATGGGAAGCAAGGAGATGAGGTTGGGGGTTAGGTTGTGGATGGGTAAGTCCTTTGTTGCTCTCTACTGGGCCCCCACAGCTTAAAACCGTCATGGCTTTAGCTGAGTTACTGCAGGGCCCTCACACTCGGCCAGAGTGAGCAGACAGAAAACTTCAGGGTCTGCCCCCTCAGCATGGGGGGCCCCCCACAGTGAGAGGAGGAGCGTGTGAAGGGGTGTGGGGAAGAGAAGACAAGGCTCTTTTTCTGGTAGAAGCTCCTTTGATTAGAGTGTATTGGGCTTTTGGAATACTCAGCACTCAAGCAATCAATTGGCAATGATTTGCCTTCATTTTTTAGGGGTACCCATGACAACTTAAACCCCCCTGGAAGGTTTCCTCAGATTCTCCCAGTGCATGCAGCCACTTGGCTCTTTCCTGACCTCTTTGCTCTGCTAGAGGCAGCTCGGTAGCCCCATGCCCATGTTCATACATCTACATTTTGCTACAGAACCCACCACTCCCTTTTATGGTGTGGATGCTGAGGCTGGCAGTTGTTTGACACTTATCATTATGTTTGTGCTGTTGTTTTCCTTGGTGCACAGAAACAGTTCTCTATACTCACATCCCTGTTAAAAGTGAAAGACTCAAAGTGCTTGAGTTTCACTTAAAATGGGAGTGTGCATAAGTCTTTATGGAAGCAAAGACTACTTGATCCTGTTGACTATGCAAATATGCACTTGTCCAGCTTTACTCTCATTTTAATATCTGCCTTAATCTCCTTATGCATGTAAGTTTCTATATTGAGGTTAAAAAAAGTGTGTATTTTTTGGGTTTGAATTAAAAAGGACATCTCCTGGCAGGCACTGAGTGATGTTTATGCTGGGCCTCTGAAGCTAGAGGGAAGCTTGATCACATGACCAGTCAATATCCTCAGGACCCATCTGGGTCCTTCTCTCAGCTGTCCCTTCAGAGTGTTGGCCACTGCTGTCAGTGACAGAGCAGCCACTGAGGCCACGGCCAAGGTGGTAGCTGTAGACAGGAGGCAGGGAAAAAGTCTGAACAGCACTAATGCAATCCAGATGCTGTGCAGGGCAGGGGAAGGTCTCTTTCCTTCTTGCTTGTAGGGGACTGATGGGTGGGAGAGCAGAACACAAGATAAAAATAAGGGTTACAGTCAATACCTATTATTCATTGTAGTTATGTTCTACAAAGTTGCCAAGAAAAATGAATTAGTGAATGCTGAATCATCGCTCCCAGGGGAAACAGAGGGTTACGTTCTGGCAAGCATAATATAGGGTGAGTCTCTGGTCACATTTCCATCAACCGATCAATACATAACCTTGTTTGATGTGTTTCCATTTAAGGACACCTTATTTAATATATACAGTTGATTTATGTACATTGTATTCCCAGGCAACAGTCCTGTAACTCAAGCCTGAACAAAGCTGGGGAACACAAGTACTTTATCCATAATGCACATCCCAGCCTTCTTGGGCTTAGGATCCTGGACAGCACTGCAGAACTATGCTTGGGGACATTTTAAAAAGTGAAATCACCCATGAAAAGCACAAATGTGCAAAAAAAAGCGGCACTAAATACACTGTGGAAAGGACATTTGTGAACAGTCTGAGAGCTGAAATGAGAAATCGGAGTTGCCTTGTTCCATTTCAGCTGGGAACATGCATGCAGGGTGACTCGAACTCTTTGCTGCTCGGTCCATGTCTATGAATGACCATGGAAGCACCACAAGCATTCATTTTGAAAGTACAAATGAATTTCAGTGAGCAGGCAAATTATCAAATACAGGACCTTTGAATAATGAGTCTTGGCCCCATTTCCTTTGTTCTAGAGGCAGACCCAAGCTCTGGGGCCGGGAGATGTGGAGTATGGATGTGGGTAGGGAGAGGGGTCAAGGAAAAGGTAATGAGATAGTACAGAGCCCCTGTCGGTGCTGGGGCACCCGGGAAGGGAAGAGGGAGGGCAAGCAAGCCCATCTGCACACTAGTGTGATTACAGATGAACCCAAGTCTGACGGCCAGCTCCTACATTTACTGGCTGTGTGGTCTGAGGGAAGTCATGGAACCTCTCTCAGCGCTGCCAGCTTTCTCATCTGCACAAGGAACACAAAGCTAGGACCAGGCTGGTGTGCAAGGAGTAAATGAAATGATGGGTGTGAGGCAGGAATCATGGCCCCTGGCCCACAATGAATGCTCTAATAGTTCAGCAACATTAGTCTTGTTATCTTTATGACTTGGCCCAAACTCCTAGGCAAGGAGAGGGCTATGAAGATAGGCAGCCATGGCAGTGGAAAAGCCAATATAAGCTCAGGCTCTGGTCAGACCTAGGGATGCCAAGACTGAAGCCCAGTATGCGAGACAGACAGTGTTTCTGCTCCAGTGCGCCTCACTAATGCAGAGGCCTTTAGGGTCCATCTAAAAACATCTTAACTGTCACTTAGTAAAAATTACTCAGTAACATGCTCCCTAGACCTTTGTGTCCCATTGCTGGTACTTATCTGAGTCCCATGGGGTAGACGTTGGGTGTGGGGTGGGGAATCGGGGCGAGCCGAGGGGATATGGGGTGAAGGTCAGAAATGATACTGAATGCATGGTTTGTACAATACTCGATTAATTTAAGAATGGTAAAGTTTCATTTTGGCCTGTCTCTACATGGCCATACGTGAGTGTTCTGTATCCAATCCATGCCCATAGCAGGGGTCAGGAGGAGGCTGACAGGGGCCAGAGCAGAGGATGAGGGGACTACCAATCCCTGGCATTCTGCTCAAGTCTGCAATGCAGACCCTGGCCAGGGCCTGGAGGCTGTCGCCCAGCCTCCGAGGCTGACTTACATTTTCCGCAGGTTGGGCAACTTCTTAAAGATACCAGTGGCCTCTAGAACAGATATCTCATTGTCGTTCAGTCGCCTACATGGGAAGCAAGGAGATGAGGTTGGGGGTTAGGTTGTGGATGGGTAAGTCCTTTGTTGCTCTCTACTGGGCCCCCACAGCTTAAAACCGTCATGGCTTTAGCTGAGTTACTGCAGGGCCCTCACACTCGGCCAGAGTGAGCAGACAGAAAACTTCAGGGTCTGCCCCCTCAGCATGGGGGGCCCCCCACAGTGAGAGGAGGAGCGTGTGAAGGGGTGTGGGGAAGAGAAGACAAGGCTCTTTTTCTGGTAGAAGCTCCTTTGATTAGAGTGTATTGGGCTTTTGGAATACTCAGCACTCAAGCAATCAATTGGCAATGATTTGCCTTCATTTTTTAGGGGTACCCATGACAACTTAAACCCCCCTGGAAGGTTTCCTCAGATTCTCCCAGTGCATGCAGCCACTTGGCTCTTTCCTGACCTCTTTGCTCTGCTAGAGGCAGCTCGGTAGCCCCATGCCCATGTTCATACATGCTCAGAGAGCAGGAAGGCCAAAAAGGCTGTGCCTGGCCTTGTCCTCCTGTGAATTTGTAAAGTCAAAGAGAATAATAATAACAGAGCGCCATCATTTGTGCAGGAGTTACTCTGTGCCGGGATTCGAGATGACTTCTGCACTTGCATTGCTTACTTAAACTTCCTAATTCCCCAGGAGTTACCTCCGTTTCAGGAGAAGCTAAGAATCTGGCACTCAGATCTGAGAAGCAACTTGCCAGTCTCAGGAAAACTGGTGATAACAAGAGTCAGACCCTGGTCTGTCTGTCCCCTACAAACTGTGTCCTTGCTCTTCTCCATGCTGTAAATTTTTAGCTTTTCTACTTCCAGAAAAACCCTTTATTATCATAGATAATAGGAGGCTCAGATATATCTAACTGTATTAGTTTTTTTGCTTTATGACAAACATTTATTTAATACCCATATTTCTGGCTATAGTGAAAGCTTCAAAAGGGCAGGAGGGACCGTCTGCTTTATTCATTGTGGAAACTGTGGGCCTAGCACAGTCCTGGTTCACACTGGGTGCTCCAAAAATATTTGTAGAATGAATGTACTGTCCTCCTTTTCCTGCAAGCTGTTCTGCAGGATGCCTGGGTGTCTGCCCTCTGCCCAGGACATCGAGGACAGCCAGCCAGGAGTGCCCAGGTGACTGAGCCAGGAGGGGGTGGCCTCCGGGAGACCCCGCCCAGGCTGGCTCAGGGTGACTGGGTATGTGGGGATGAGCAAGGAGTTCAGGTCTGGGTAGTACTTACAGATCGGTGACATATTCGGGGAGGTGGCTTGGGACGCGGGCCAGCTTCTGGTTGGAGCAGTCCACGATGGTACCCTCGCAGCGGCACTTCTCGGGGCACACGAGGTCCATGAAGCACTCGCTGCTGAACCTGCCGCGGTAATCCTCCGAGCCTGGGCGGGGCCAAAGAGGGGGCGTCAGCGTCACCCGGGTTCCCGGCATGGGGCGAGGTTGTGGGCACGTGGGGGGTGGGGATCCAGGGCAGACACAGCATGGCCCTCAGTGTTTGGCCACCTTAGTGGTGCTGCTGTGCACGCCCCCGCCCGTGCCCCGCTGCTTTCCATGTGGTCTAGGCCACTCAGCTATTTCCATTCCTCTCGGAAGCCAGGCTCAAGCTCTGTGGGCTCTTAGGCTTTTGTGGGTCACAGACTTTTTTGAGAAGCTGATGAAAGTTAGGGATGGGCTCCTCAGAGAAACGCTCCTAGGTGCATGTGTACAGGACTTAGTCCAATTTAGGGGGGCTACTTAGTTCATGGTGCCCATCATTCATGGACCCTCTAAATGTTCATGGAAGTCCAGATGAAGAGATTTTGATGGGGGCTATGCCAGCGGGGGGAACAAGGGAAGGGAAGTCGGGGTCATCAAGAGTTTCCCTCAGGGCCTTAAGCAGGTAATGAAAAGGAACCCCGTGTATGGTGATCAAGAATGACTGACACCAGGCCTCAACAGGGGTAGGTCATAATGAGGGCTGGGGACCTGAGCAATCGGCGCCCACTGCCCTAATGCTTGGGAATTTGGCTCAGGCCTGCCTGACAAGTGTTTTTAAAAACAAATTTAAACTCTGTGAATTAGAAATAAATTCAAATTTAAAACTTTAGGAAGATAGCCCAACTCTTGGGAGGGTCAGATTTGCCCTGTGTTTGAGAATAAGCTCTGTTTAACTACAGTGAAAAGCCAGTTCTGAGGAGCTAAAAGTAGTTGTAGCTTAGATTTATTTTTCGGAGACTGACTTTCTCTTGAGGTTGCACAGGAATGGTAACAGGACCAGCGATGTGATGTCTCGAGAAATGCCCTGGGGGTTGCTTTAATGGCCAGCAATGATCCCCTGGTACCTGGGCAAACCTCTGTGAGACCACAAACCACACCAGAGGCAATGGGGGAGGCTCTAGCTCTTCTATCAGACATGAACTAGGCAAGGGGGTGGTGTCTGGTCATTCTTTTATCCTTAGCATTTCATTAGCATGATGCCTGGGACAATACATGGGCTTGGTCCACATTTGTCCAAGGCACAAAGGGAATGCCATTAGTGCTTCAGTCGTCCTGTCCGTGAGATTTCTGAAGTGCTCCAGAGAACCCGAGTCATTTGTTTAACTACTCGAGGCATTGTTCGGTGATCTTATCAGTGCTAGGAGCACTATGGGACACTAGTGGCCCTGGGATCATCACAGTAGTGGGAGTAAGATTGCCCGGGATTCGGCAGTCACAAACTTCAGTCTCTTCATTTGTAAAATAGGAGTCAAATAGGTGCCCCCATCTCAGGGGTCGTTGTGAATCAAGGAATATTAAGGCCTTGGAGAGTCTTTGGGAAAGGGTTAAGAGTTGTACAGATGCTTGTGACGCTACTACTTTCTTTTTCTAGACCCTAGTGGACCATCTGGCACATCAGAGGCCACTAAAGTGTCAGTGTAGCGAGTGATAATAGCTGACATTCACTGAGCATGGCCCACGAGCCAGGCACTATTCTTAGAACTTCAAGTAGGAGAGCCCACTTAATCCTTGCAAGACCCCACATTATTATGACTCCATTTTATAGATGAGGAACCTGAGGCCTCCAGGTCACTCAGTATGTGGTAGAGGGATGAGCCCAGGCAGGCTGCTGCAGGGCCCACGTGATTAATACTGTGCTGTACTGCAGATGTGTCTTGACAAAACCTTTATCTCAATCCTCTAGGCATCATCATAAAGTTCAGCTTGGTGTTGGTAGATTGGCTGGCATTTTTCTGCAGTGGGCTATGGTGAGGCGGGGAGCAGACATCTTCCACACCCTTGGTTTCTCACCCCTCACATTATCAACCTGTGGTAATTCCTCATTGGGAATGAACTTGATGGGTCTCTGATTCGGAAGTAAGACCATCTACCTAAAACACGGGTCAGAGGCCTGGACCTGTCTCCTTTCTCTTTCTGCTCCTTCCCCACCCCTCTACTTCATGCCACCTTCAACCCCCAGGCTTTTATGAGCAAAGTTGTGCTTGTCCCACAGTTATTTGGGTAGCATCCTGGTCTGAGGCATCATGCAAATCTCTTGCCCTTGGCTTGCCAGCATCCATTTCACTGTGTTACTCAGACCTGGGCCACCTCCCCCCAGACACATCAGCATGCCAAATCCTAGGAGAAACTCATTTTGCAAACCCTGCTGAATGACAACCCCCTCTTGTTTCCTGCCAGTCATTCTACACAGTGACGGTGAGAAGGGGCACTTGGTACATATACGTACACTTTTCCTTCAGAAAGTGTCTACAGTGGGATCCTTGCAAAGTGGAGCGCTGAGAGCTGATCAAAGGCAGAAAGGCAGGAGGGAGCACCAAAGACAGGCAATGCCTGGGCTGTGGCTGGGGATAGGCACCAATTAAATGCATTTCATTTTAATCAAGGTGAGAGTGACTATAGTTAGCAGAATTGCTCTCTCTAGTACAGTTAGGTTATAATTGGCAGACCTCTGCAATGGAGCCGCTGACCCATTTTAATGAAATGATTTTGCAATTAAATGCGATGGACAAATATGATCTTTCCAGCATTGCCCCCCCCCCGTGCCCCCACCTGCTGTTTTTGTTATTGCCCTGGTTGGTAATAATGAGGGGGTCAGAGTGTGATATTTTATGCAAGTGAGAGCCAGAAATGTTAATAACAGCATACGCACATAACCACAGTAGTTTGTTCCCCAGTCAGAGCCGCCTGAAATGCCACCTCCATCACTTCGTATTTCATAACCGAAGCTACTCTGGGTTTCTCAGAGCCATTGGTTATGCCTAATGCTCATAACTGCCCAAAAGTATTTTTAACTTTTCCAGAGCTTTAAAAGTCAATTTCAATCTCAATGCGTATTTGTCACTGCCAGAAATACTTAGTAGGAGAGGAGTCTCTGAAATTGGCTGCTGCTTCTTCCCTTTGGGGTGAGTTCAGACAGAAGAGATCTCAGAAGACTTGAAGGGCCATGAAACAAAATTTCAGTGGAAATGGGAATGCCGATATCATCTGGTTCACTTTGCCTGCTCCTTTCCCTGTATCCCTTCACCCCTTTCCAGGGCATCTCAGAACAACAACACTTGGTACACGATCGGTACACGATCACAGAGAAGCTTTAATAGACCAGTGGGTAGAAATCCTCAACAATGTGATTTTATTACGAATCCCTGCCCCTGGCCACTTCCCAGGAAAGAATGTATGCGACATTTGGCTGGCCATGGGGTTAGGGTGGGTCGAGCGCCAGTGCTACCATCCTTGGATGGCCTTGCCAGCACAGGCCCAGGATGGTTGCTGTCGCCAGCAGTCTGCATTTCACGTCATCCTTTGGGCAAGCAGTTTGTTGAAGTCACTGACTCATCATTATCTGATGACAATGAACCTGCTACCGCATGTATCCAGAGGTCTCTTCTACCTCCAACATCCCTAAGATGGGAGGGATAAGAGAAGAAGGAAAGGAGCAGAAAGAGGAATTGGGGGGGAATAGGACACCTGCTGGGGCTCATCAGCTTGAAAAGTGAGTTATGAATATAAGCAAAGGGTCATAAGTGATGAACAGAACCAAGAGAACATTGCTAGGCACAGTTATCTCCTTGTGGGCAAAGGCTGTGGGACCAGATGCCAGCAGCTGTAAACCACCAACTGTTTTACTGGGAGTTTGGTGATCATTTGAGCAGACAGCTGTCCCAGTGCACTCTCTCCATCAGAGCCTGTCATGAACGCAGCGGTCCGCCTGGAAGTAGAGAATGCCTGTGGCCTGCACCTGGGCACTGCTGGGTCACAAGCCTGCTGCAGCAGGACCAAGGAAGTGCCCACAGGAGGGCGCCACTGTGGACACCTTCCAGAGGCCTGGCCCTGCATGTGGGGGCAGCCCTCAGGAAATCAGAATGCCCCCTCTGTTCAGAAGGAAAGGGAATTCTTCAGGTTCAAGGATTTGTTCTGTAACCACTGGACCTTAGTATAGTCCTGCTGGAGGGGAGGAGCCATTTAAATATTGCTGCTTGCTCTCTTACTCAAGCAATTTTCTATTAATAGAAGTAAGCCTGAAAGGGGGTGTTAAAAAAATTCAACTTCCTGTCAATTCAAGTCAATCCTATCATTCCTTTTGATTTTATAATTCAAGGCAATGGGACTTGTCCATAGTTGGGAGTCCGAGAATTACAGCCAAAAAGAGCAGCCATGCTGGAGACACAGAATGATGGGCTTTAGTTGACCTCTCTGACTTGATATCTTCATCTGTAAAAAGCCTTCCTTTGTAGGATTGCTGTGAAAATCAAGGTAGTGCTGTCCAACAGCTCTGTGCCTGGCCTGCCGTGAGCACTCAATGCACGGTGAGAGGAGCCAGGGGGTGAACAGGACCCCCATTACTCAGCAGTGGCTGGGACCCTGGCCGGGAGGGTGATCATGGGGACAGGAGACAGCGCATCACGCATCACTGTGGGAGCCCAGAGCCTGCTCCTGGGCCGCAGCCAGGGTTTGGTTCCCAGCACGGCTCTCTCTCTTGCATGGCACAGGGCACAGATTCCATGGCATGAACTAACACCACACTCTTCTGATTACTCTGGGTCTAGGCTTTACCAAGAAATGAGCAAAATGGGAGGCACTAAGATCCCTTTCTCATAAGAGACAGCGGGTTTCTGCGCGGCCCCTGTGTGGCCCTGAACTAGCACCATGTGAGGAGCCCAGCACTTTGGCTTGGAAGGCCAAGGAGACAGACTGGACTTTAGGCTGCACAGGGCACAGGGCCAATGTACTCATGAGGATTGGGAGCAGGGCAGAAGGTGACTCAGACTAAATCTAAAATCTCAGACTCATGCCAGCTTTACACATTCATTCCCATGCTTCCAGTAAAGATGGTAGGTAGGGAGTGGGTCACAAGCAGTATGACCTTTAGGTTAGCTACCACTTGGGAAAATGACCTTGGGCTGGGACTCTTCCATGAACCAATGGGGCATACAGCTTGGGTTCACCCACTGCCTTCAAATGGAAGGAGAAAACTGGTTTCTGGGCTCAAACCCAGCTCTTTATGCTTGGCTGCATCCAGAAATATGGGACGGTGACTCCTCTTGGGGTAGGGGACGTGGATACGGATCTCAGCTTGCCTCCAGTGTGCTTCTCCATGCCCATGCTACCTGGACGTGGAGGTACTCTGTGCATCCTTCAAGACTCCCACCCCCTACCCTTTGTGAGGCTAGCTCGGGAGGGGCGGGTCTGGCGGGTGGTGGGCTGCGGTGCTCCAGAGCAGAGAAGAGGTGTCCAGCGGTGGCGGCGATGGCGGGCCATGCTGCAGGAGAGCGCGGTGCTTTCCGCGGTGCTTGACAGAACCATGTTCCGTTTCCATCGTTCCACCACATGGTTAGATCAAGCACAAAGGAAAGCTCCACGGCAACTGGTCAGAGTCAAGGTCAGGAAGCAGCGTCAGAGAGAGGACAGGAGCGCTCAGAGGAAGCAGCGTGGAGAAGCGGAAGCCGGAGCAGGCCCCCACTGAGCATGATTAGTACCAGGAGCGGGGTTCCGCAGGAACACTTCTGAAGACAGGACCCCCCACACCCTTGTTCCCACCCCAGGGGAGACGCAGTGGGGAGAGAGAAGAACGGGTGGGAGACTATTGGGCACCCTACTCAGGCGTATCAGGGAGAACAGATCTTTCCCAAGGGAATTGTGACCACAGATGTCTGTGATAACATCACAGGACTGAACTGAATCTCTGACCCTGACTCAGTCACACCATTTCATCTGCCAAGATATCAAATGTAGCAGAAGCATCTTCTGCTTGTTTTGCAACCTGGGACCCATCCCCTAGCAGAGTGGCTCCACAGTAGTTTGTTCCCTCAGCTCCTTAAATAAAGAGACAAGGGAGAATTCCGAGTGGTCTAGCAAAGCTCTGATGCTCTTCATTAGGAAACTCCCCTTTGAAATTCCACAGTTCAGGAGACTCCTCAGTGTCCTTCAGGTCCCCCAGAAGCCCTCTGGCTGACAGACATCCATCCCAGATCATTTGAGGTATAATAGAGGGCAGGTATGTTATCAAAATACATGCTCCTAGTGAGGGAGAAAGACAGGGAAGCCAATAGTGTCCTGCATTTGGGACTGAGAAACCTACAGTCACAACGGTCCGAGAACACTGACTTTCACAGAGGCGGTGACCCAAGCCCTTCATGATACAGGCCCGTCAGACTAAGAGATGGAAGGAAAGAAGACACCAGATTCTTGGGTCCTTCTTGATTTCCTGACTCCTTCCATGGTTATGAATCTCAGGAGTCGGTGGGGGGTACTAACCACCAGCTCTTCTGGATGCCAGGGACCCAGGTGTGAGTGCCCAGGCACTGTCTCTATCAGCAATAGATCAGGAGCCGTTTTTATGAGCTTCCTCCCAAGACACTGGGAAAGGATGTATGCATCTTGAAGAGATCAGAGTCTGGGTCAGGAGACGGGGAGGCCCCCAACCCTGCCCTCTGAAAGGAGGGACAGGGTCACTGTTCGTCTGCACTGTATTTTTGGGACAGGATAGTCACAGCACCTTGACAGTGCCCGGGTTGTCTGCAATGGTTGACCTCTTAGTCAAGGTCGGTCCACAGCTGGGCCTGGCCCCACCTCTTGCTAAGACCTCCCATCAGACCAACTAGAGTTGGCCACTGCAATCCAGACTCAACTCTGCTTGACCCCCAGACACACAGGGCTCTGTAAACATTCTGGCTTGGGGATTTTATATTTAAGTTTGATTGGGCCTTTTAGTACAACAGCAGGAAAATCCATCCTTTTCCTGCCCCTGCTCTCAAGCCTTATGATCTCTTTCTCCTTCTTTTTGGTTTCCCTGAACAAAAAGAAATGGAGGGACCAGGGAAGAAGTTATGAAGAATTTTCACAGTACTTCAGAAGTCCTGGGGTTTAGATTTTGTCTTGAAAATATTACTCTATAAGCTAGGATGGACTGGATGATCTCTGAGGTCTCTAAAATTCTGGATTCCCTGAGAGGTGTCTAGCTCTTTGCCATCTTTGGACAGTGTGTCACCACCCTCTGTACTTTTCACTGAGAGTTTCTTCTTGCTGATTGGATCGCCACATAAAAGGAGGGGAAGGCATGACGGAAGACAGCATCTTTCACCTGCCAAGTCCCCACCCCTGGGACTGGCTTGAGGTCCCAGGCAGCCAGACAGTGCCTTTTCAGGAGGACATAATCTGATGGTCAGATTACCCCAGCCGGCTGCATTCACCTCTAACCAGATATTGCCGCCTGGAGCAGCGGATGCAGCTGATGGAGGCAGACACAGGGCAGCTGGGAACCAGACGCCCTGCCTAAGGAGGGGCTTTATGCATTGCAGGAAGAGCTCTCAAATTGGCTCCTAATTACATCAACTGTCTTTGCAAGGGGGTGCTTTTAGGGGAGAGTAAAATGCAGAGTTATTATCTGTCAAATCCAGTACGTGTCACCTGCCTGTCTTTCTCCTGGAGCTTCCTGGAAACACAGAGCTTTAGTTCTATGGCTTCTGTATCCCTCAAGGCCAAGGCAGGTCTGGGCCCCAAGGTCTCTCAAGCCAAGGTCTTTGGAGATCACCAGTAGCTTTCTCTACCTCTTCTCTGCAGCTATAGAATAAAAGCATATAGAATATGCTGTATGTCAGGCTCATCACAGCTCCAACTTTCTCCACCTTCATAGGAATAATCTGTCTGCTTAGTATTGATTTTAAAAAAAGATTATTTTAGACAGGTTGATCCAAGAACCCTGACCCTTCTCCCTATTTGTTTCTTCTTAAAACTTTCCAACCACTCCTACCCCACCCAGGAAAAGCAGCCAGGATCCGCCCAGTGCACAGGTAGGTAGGTGACTAGCGGCAGAGCTAGGGTTAGGAATAAGCTCTACTGCTTCCTAGGTCTACTTGCTATTTTCTCTTATCTCCTACTTAGTTCTGTCTGTACACCCCGCTCCCCACCCATCACGCCAACCCCAGCCCACAGTCATTCCTAGGCAATTGCGAGATGTTAGTCCTCGGACCAAGGGCTGATTCCACCCCTGCCCTGCCCTCCCAGGGTCTTGGAGGGCAGAGATCTGGAGCCTGAGATCCTGACAGGACCCCCATAAGACTGATGGGTTGGGGCTGGCACCCTGCCCTCTATGTCTCTTTAGTCCCTCTTTTTGGGCACAACAGCTTGTCAGAGTTAATTAACTCAGCCCTGGCCAGACACGGGTAGGATCAGAGGGGACAGAGAGAGTAAGAGGTATCGTAATTAGGCCCCGGGGAAAGGATGGTTATGCCCTAGGCAACAGCTCTGGGCTAGGAGAGGATTTTTTTCCAGAGTTGCTGCTCGTCCCAAGAAGATACTTAAGGAGTTCATGGGGTGGGCGGCACATGCGACTGGGCAAGAAAGTCATTCAAGCAGGTGGACCTCCTTCCCAAATGTACTTTCTCTCCTACATGCTGCATGGTGTTCAGAGTGAGCCAGACCTGGGGTCTGGTCCTGCCTCCACTCTTTGCTGGTTGTGGCCAGGGGTGCCCTTCACCTCTGAGCCCTTGGCCCTCTCTGGTGCAGGACAGGGACCTCTCCTGCTGCTCTCATAGGACTACTGGAAGAAGCAAATCAAACCAGAAGCACTCAGCACAGTGCTCATCACAGGAAACAAACTCCTGTAATTGACATTTTTTGAGGGAAGACCAATTGCGACCAATGCCTCATATTGCCACAAAGGCCCTGAGGTACCTCCAAGCTCTCTTGCAGGATTTGCTTCTGTTGAAGAAAATACTGTAGCTAAGGTTGATCATTCGGGAGATGTGGACCAAAGAATTTGACTTAGAGGACAAGAACAATTTGAAAGAAGCAGAAGTCTGCCTGCTGGCCTTCTCCCCGGGGAAACTCACTCCCACGAGACACTGCTGGGCAGGGAGAGGCGGGGCTCCTGCTGACACACACGTTGTGAGGGTTGGCGCCAACCCATCTCAGCACATATTGCCATTGGGAACACAAGGCAGCTTGGGGATTTTATCCCGTAGCAAATGATGCAAATGATAGTCATTTTTAACTGCCTGTTCATTTAGCTATTGGATCAGGGAGAGAGACCTGTTTTTCCAAGACGACCTGATGTTTCCCCTGCCATTTGTCCCTGGTGTCCTTCCTGGGTACAGCAGGGGGGAAGGCTTCTAGAGAGGACTTGGGACCTGGGAGCAAGGCTTTGCTTTCTTCCAGAGCATAACTCTTTGCTATTCTCTCCATGATCGGAACACTCTAGTCTGGGTTAGGAGATAGCCAGAAATTATTGGTGAAACCTGTAATACATTGTGGTCTAAGGTCTGTACCAAAGGTGGTCTTAGAGGGGGTGAGAGGCACCCAGGATTACACACTGCCTGTAGCCTAGTCTTGAGTACATTTTTTTTCTCTATCTGCTACTTAGGAACACACTTTAGCATCTAAAAAATAAAAACCATGGCCTCTAAAGGGCACATGCGTAAAGGCTGCCCCATCCCCGAGTTTCCACCTAGCCTCGGAGATACACAGCCATCTGGGTTCTGTCTCTCCTGAACTCATGCCCCCCATGCTTTTATTGTGTGTGTGTGTTTTATTTTAAATCCATAAGATAATTGGGTTTCTGTGGGGCTAACTGAATTTCCCCAATTTAATTTGCAAAGCTGCTCCCCAGGAGCCATTACAGCGCTTGCTGTCCTCCAGATTGGATTATTGGCCTCTCTGGGGCTGCTGCGCTCTGAGTCAGAAGGTGGGGCCCGGCTGTAACCTGATTACCTGAGCAGCGGAACTTCTTGCTCTTGATCTGGCTGATGCGCTTGTTGGCCAGCCGGCGTGGGCTGCTGCAGCGGGCCCCACTGGTCTCGATGGGGTTGTCTTGGAGGTAGTCGGCCAGCCACTTCAAGTGGCAGTCGCACACAAACGGGTTTTGGGCTAAGTGGCTGTGAGAGGGACGGGAGTCCATGAGGAGTGACCAGCAGTGCCACGACCTACCCCACCGACCCACCAGGCTCCCTCCCTCATTACCCCTGACCTGGCCTCCTCTGGGGGCTGCGTTCAGACAGGACCCAGGGGCTTGAAGCCCGCTGTCTGTGTGACCGTTACAGCTGTGGCTGGCTTTGGGTCGGGGAACCAGCCTCCCTGCTCTCCCGACTTGGGGCAGGACCTCCACCATTCTGGCCGGGCCTTGGGGCTTATGCTCAGAGCAGACTGCATGTCACTTCTCCAAGCTCAGTAACACCGGTGCTGAGCGTGGCTGGCATGGACACTGGCCCGCGGTGGGTGTTCGTACCTAGAGGCGGGTATTGTTACTATCCTCCTCAGCGTGAGAGCAGCTTTGGGAGTCTGACTTCCTCTGCCCCAAAGCGCAGCACGTGGTGCTTGGTGCCCTGGGTGCAGGTAATATGCAGCAGCTGTTCTTGCTCTTTATTGGCGCCTGTCTCTGGCTATGGAAGCAGAAAGTGCTGGAGGACTCAGAGCATCTCCAGAAGCCCCAGACTGTGCTCAGGCCTGGGGCTGGGGTGAGGCTCTAAGCTTGGGGCTACAGCCATCAAAAATATGGGCTGAGATCTGCGCTCAGGAGTCATCTGATGGAACTCCTTATGAACACCCACAGTACTTGGGAGTGAGGGACTGCTCCCTAAAGAAGGTGAAATGTTCTCAGGGTGCTTGCATTGGGGTTTGGTTTTGCAGGGTGGTGGGAGTTGCTTGTGGGCAGGAAAGGGTTATCAGCAGAGATGGAGCCTGCTCAGAATACAGTAGCTGTAAATGGTTAAGAGAGCAGGTAAGTAACAACTCTGCCTGGATTCAAATCCTGCTTCTTGCTAGCTGTGCAACCTTGAGTAAGTTACTTAACCTCTCTGTGCCTTGGTTTCCTCACAAAGAAATAGGGGATCACCATAATACCTATCTCACGGGGTTGTTATGAGGCTTAAAGGTTTGAATACAGGACAAGTACTCAGCTCAGCATCAAGCACCACGTGAGTGCTTGGTGCAGGTAAGCTGGTAATACTCTTGCTGTCCATTCTCACTGCGGCCTCTGTAGATCTGTCTAGACACGCTCGCTTTGCCTTCACTTCGGGTGTTCTCCATGACTGAGTGTTTGGGGTTGCCGGCTGCTCGGGCCAGTGCTGGAACTCACGGTGGCATACTCACAGTGTCTGGATGGCCTGCAGAGGGGCAAAGAGCCCCTTGCTGACGGTCTGCAGCTTGTTGTCATACAAGGAGAGCAGGTTGAGGTTCTGTAGGTCCTGGAATGTGTTCACCCGGAGGCAATTGATCTTGTTGGCGTTGAGGAGGCTGCAAGCAGAAGGGAGGCTGGTGACTGCCCAGTCCTGGTCCTGTGGAGCGAGGGCTGCAGCTGCAGCGGGTGGGCTGCAGAGCTCCCAGAGCCCTCCTTCCAGGGAAAGAGAGGGACCTTGGGGCCACCTGTACATCCAGTCACATGGACACTGGGCCGCACCCTGAAACCTCCGGGAGCCTCCCTTGCACACCACCCTCAGAAGAAGACTGGAAACGGAACCCCATGCTGCTGACTTTCTGCTTCAGCATGTGGGGCTCCCAGGAATCAGACAAAAAAATTATTTGCCACAATTGTTGTAAAGCTTTGGTTGATTGACTAAAGGAGTCTTGATTCAAAAAATGCCTTAGAGTTCTTTTGGATCACTGATCTCACTGGAAATTTGATGAAAGTTAAAGGTCATCCTCCCAGAAAAAAATATATCCATTGGTAGGCATGTGTGTATACACGTCTGAATTCACTCATTCTTTCTCTCCCTCTCTGTGTGCACAGAGTCCTGTGTGATCTGACCTCTGCCCCTTTCCCCTCTCATCCTCTCCACCCCGAGTCACTACCCTTTAGTTCCTCCAATACATTACAGCATCGCAGCCCCAGTCCTTGAACACGCTCTTTACCCTGTTTCATAAGGGGGCTTCCTCTGACTCTCAGCTCAAATGTCCCCTCCTCAGAGAGGCCTGCTCTGCCTATTTCCTCCACAGCAGGACCCAGAGGCCCCCTTTATTGTCTCTCACAGTCCACCATTTATTTCCTTCATAGCACTTCTCTCAATTTGTGATTATGTTTGTTTACTGTTTGCCTCCCTCCCCAGACTATAAGCTCTCTGATGGCACACATGACGTCTATTGTATTCCTCCCTATATCCTGAGTGCCTCACCCAAGCACTTAGTAAGGAATATACTCCACTCCATAAGGCAACTCCGGGGGGTCACACTCCTCCAACGTGGCACCCATTCCCCCAGGGCAGCCTTCCTCTCCACAAGGGAGCTGTTCTGCTGTGGCCTTAGCTCTTCAGACCCCTCTCCTCACACACAGACACACACATACACCCAGACACACAGACACACACACACACATGTATCAAAGGAAGCTGCCTTTCAGGTGAAACTGCTCCAGAATGGCGGATGCCATGAGGGTTATAGGAGAGTTTTCCAGAATGGAGTTGGCAAGTAAGGCAATTTTGGGTCCTAAGAATACAGTTCTCATTTATGATCCTAGGCCAACTAGTTATGCTCTCAAAACTAGCATAAAATAATTTCTCACTCCCTCCTGAATGAAAGTGGGGGAGGGAGGAACTAAACCAGCAAAAATGTTGAATTTTTAAAATTTCTATTTTCAAGGCTGGCTCAATGCTTCCCCTGTGGGGAATGACCCATGAGAACCATAATGGGCTGGCCTGCCTCTGGGGTCTCCTGATGCCAGGGCACCAGGGGACTTTAGCTGTGAACAGTAAGGCTGCCCATGGGAGATAAATCACCTGTGCCACCTCTTCCTTTTGGCAGCCTGTCCTCCCAGTGGGCCCTGTGCATCCCGTGTGCAGGCAGGCAGCTGTGGCCATGGCAAGTGGAAGAACTGCCTGTTTAATCTGGCTAATAAGGGGCAGTGTCCCCAGGGCCCAGGCAGATTGTTTCTGCCTTGCAGAGGAAAAAAGCTTTCATAGCTAGAATACTTCTCATGTTTTCCAGAGTGCTGCCCTGACATCCTATTATTCTCACAATAACCTGGGCAGATGGGCAGAGCTGGCCTCCCAAGTTACAGGTGAGGAAACAGAGGCTGAGAGTTTGGTGGGCTTGTTCAAGGTCACACATGTTTCCAGGGAGCATGCTGCAAGTAGTTATGATAATTTAGGTCTCTAGAGGGTTCAGTTTCTTCTTTATGAATGCCCTATCTACCCGGCCCATATGTCTGTCCCTTTAGTAGCATTTCCCCCAAGAATTTCCTGTGCTTTGTATATTAAATTTTAGTCAAGGTCATTCCATGTTGGGGGCATCCAAAGGAGAATGCTATGGAGCAGAGAAACAGGGAGAACATCTAGAGGACCCCACAGGCCCAAGCTCCACGGGGGAATGGGCCTTCATACACACACACACACACACACACACACACACACACACACACACACACACACTCACAATTTTTTTGGTTTAAAAAGGAAAAGTATGTGGTAAATAATTTTTTCCAAATCTTGATATTCAGGAACTTGTTAGGGTATTGTCTTGCTAGGAAATATTGAACTGTTCAGTAGAGACCAGGCCAAAGGTGCCAATCTGGTGGCCTGAGGACAGAATCCTCCCTGCAACATACTGCAACATTCCATATGCAAATCTGTTCGTTCAGCCCTTCCTGTGTCTTAAAAATCAGGAAATTTCTCTCCTTCTCCAGTCACAAACACACACTAACATACATAAGCATACATTAGATTTCCATTCTCTTGAAAAAAATTTCAGAGGCTCAAGGAACCCTGGGTCCATTTGAGGCAGCTAAGAGGTGGCTGCCCCCTTTAGATAGGACATATGCTCTCTATTTGCCACAGTCCTCACTACTCCCTATTGTTATACTTTACTAGTTTATTCTACCTACCTTGCCTGAGTAGGAATTTAGATTTGAGACTCTAGTGCAGATTCGTGTGCCCAATTGCAGCACTTAGTTCTGGGGACAAGGAAGATGGCCAGGAGGACATAGGCATGGCAACTTTGACCTGCCTTGAAAGGGCATCCAAACTGCATGTCATGCTTGCAACCCTCCCCACCCATCAGAACTACTGGGGCTTCCTTTTTCTGATCCAGAGAGAGGATCTTCCTTGTTCCCTACTGCTCCTAGATCTTTCAGCCTGGCATATTATTGCAAAAAGTAAGGCATCAAAACAACCCAGGCTGGCAGGATTAGTAGGCAAAGACAGCGGGAGGCGCATGAAACAGAAGCAAAAGGAAACACAGCAGGGCAGCCCCCAGGTCACCTATCCTCTCCTGAGCCGCTTGGCTCCCTCAGGCAAGACACAGAGGTGCGGGGAGAGATAAAATTAAGCCGATTATCAGATTTAGATGCCAATGACAGCCTCATTGATCCCCAGCACCAGCAAGATCTCACAGCCTGTCCTTCTGTCCTCTCTCCTTTGAGAGGAAGTTGGCAGCTACTTAGCTCAGTCTCGCCTCCATGAAAGACTCTCTGAGCTCTCTGGCACGTGGGCAGGAGCTGGAAGGAATTTTAAAAAAACACCCTTTGATGGAGCAAATAGAGACTACATAACTATTTGAAATAGGGTATAGATATTCTGTTGTCCTGACATAGGCCTCCCTCCTCCTCCACCAAGGTTGCTTGATCTGTCCCAGTCCATGCCCTCTGAGGAACAGCCGTGTAACTGCAGTGTGAAAGGATGATAATCACACAGTCTCATTTCTAGAAACCACAGCATTGTGTGCAGCCATGTGCCTAACATTGTTCAAAGCACTTTCCATGCAGTATTTTCTGTCACCCTCACAGCAGCACTAAATTCATCCTCATTTTGCTGATGAGGAAACTGAGGGTCAGAGTGGTGATAGATTTGACAGGTGTCACACAGTGAAGTGACCCAAGTGACCCAGGTCACCTAAGTGAAGCTCTAGCCTGTCTGGCTCCAAAGCTCATTTCTTATCCACCACATAAAATCCACATTCTCTTTTCTGTGTGTGGCGGGACGTGTTCACTGTCTCTGGAGAGTGGCTATTTTGCTAGCTTTGGAAGGCACCAGGCATGCTTCAGGTAGACAGAGATCTGGCGGGGTCTGGAAGGCTGCTTGCCTCTGGGTTGCACAGTGGTGTCAGGAGTCCTGTTGACTCTTAGAAGGGGCCTGGCACCATGCTGGAAGAGATGGGATACCTACCAAACTGCCATTGGCACAAAGTGGCTGGTTCCCCACTGATTGGCTTGCACCTGTTTCAGCCTTCGGGGATCACTGACTCAAGCGCTGTTTTGGGAGCTGCTGTGCTCAGCTCTGTGCTCCCCTCACGCTGAACTCTCACTCTGTTCTGGACAGCCCAGGAGATGACGATGAGGCAGATACAACAGCATCCCTCATGTAAGACGGGAGGCTCCAGTTTGCCTCATTCAAGGGGCTGCCTGGTCCTCAAACTCAAAATTCTGATACCCTAATTAGATCTCAGCGTGATCTGCTGTTGGATCCAGCGAGTCGGGGGTTTAGGAGCATAGTGTGTTCACAGATATTTCCCCAGAAACAGATCCAACCATCTTTTGGGGCCACCTGCTTCCAGACCAACCTTCCAAAGAAAGTCAGAGGTCATAGAAACAACAAGAAGGGGAGGGGCTGAGATGATGAGGCCAGATGGACAGCTGGGGCCACGTGACCCAACAGGTACTATGCACTACCTGTGAAGAGGCCCTCGCCAGGCACCTTATGAATATCAACTCACTGAATCTCCCCAAGGCCCTACGAGGTGTTATGTCCACCTGACAGATGACACCTCTGGGCTCAGAAGCTGGAGGACCTTTGAGCAAAGTGGTAGGCTGCCATCTGGATCCATGCTATCTTTAGGCTAAAGGCTTCGCTCTCACCCACGCCCGTCCTGATGCCTTGGTACAGCGCTGTGGAAATCACCTAATGGTAACCGGATGGGGGGCGGGGAGGTACGTTCTTTGTAGCCACTCCCATTAACTTAGTGATGATTCTACAATAAAACAACACAGAGGGAGCCGTGCTAGTCAGAGGGGATTAAGGAGAGTGGCACAACTGAGAGGGGGAGTGCCCGTGCATTACCTTCTAAATTTATTTTCCGAGTGTTGGCTCTGCGAGGCACTCTGCCACCCCCTCTTCTCGCAGCACTTTCAGCCTCCACATATGTTCCACGTCAAGAGGTATTAGCACTCAGCCCATTGACTAACCAACATAACGATGCTGCTGAGAGATAATCCTTTCCAGGAGCTGCTGCCTTCAGGAAAAACCCAGCAGGAAACAGAAGCCATTGAGAGCCACAGAGCTGGCGGGGGAGGGGGAAGTGAAACAGCCGGA